GTCAAATACGGATTTATTTGGATTTACTGTTATCACTGATAATTCATAATTTGAATGAAATTAATCATGCTAATGAACTATCTATTGTTTTGCGATATCAATCATAATGTTATCCGAGATAAATTTATATGTAATTTTATATATAAGTTTATCTTATTAAAAACTTATTTTTACTATATCCAAAGTAGTTTGTTGGAATCGCATATTAGCCAAAAATGGCTAAAAATAGATGTAAAATATTAAATGGGATTGTATATAATAAGACTATTTACCTTTGATACAAGGTAATCACAATTACTGAAAACAATCTAATGTAAAATTTGATAGATGGGTTGTGTCATAAAATTTAAAAAAATTTCTTTTGAAGTTAGAGCTTAGTTAATGAAATAAATGTAGTCATACCATTTCAAATCAAATAGTAAAGATTAATTGTGACGGCCTTGTATAAAGATTAATAAGTCCCATCCTATATTTTTCTGTAATAAATATTGGGTGCGGTTTGTATAGAGCCTAGGCTCTAAACAATAAAATTAGAGCTTATGTATTTTCAACACTAGAAATCTTCGTGATTGCCTTAAAATATATTTTTATTTTTATTTATAAAGTTTAAAGCTTTAAAAATAGTTTCGATCGACAGATCTATGAAAACTTGAAAATCTTGAAAATTGACGGTCTAAAAATGCGTTACAAAATATACTATTTTCAAAACTTGAAATCCATTTCTTTCCTCATGTCCATGTATCTTGATGGTGAGATGAACAGTTTGAGGATATTTGAACATCAAAACAACCTCTTCTAATGAAATTTTTGTAGTACGCTCTAATTTGATTGATTAGAGGCTCGGCTCTATAGAAACTTTTTCCATAAATATTTGGATCGCAGATGATAAAATATTTTGGGTTTTTTTGGTCTCATACGGAGAAGCTGGCACCTAAAATCTCCCCGAATCTTGGATTGAGTCATCAAATTTAAATAATATAAATGCATGCGTTGGTCATTCCATTTACTCGAGGGCCACTTTTTACCGAGTTTTGTAGCGACAAAGTGCAAAGTCTCTCTCTCTCTCAATCTGATTTGTGAAGGAAATTTTTTTTATAGTAAGTGAGCTAAAACAATTTTGCAAGGAAAGGTATATATATGTATATATAAATTATTGTAAATGATTTTGTATGGAGTGGGTAAACTATTGTTCTTACAAGAGCATAATGTATACTTACTCCCTTGGGTAAAAGACTAATTTGGAAAGAATTTTTTAATTCAAAGTTTTGGGAACTACCTAAAAATTACTAGATGATTATATTCAAAAGATAAAATTTAAAATTTGAGTTTCCTTATACATTGATCTCACCCTTCAAAAATTGATCAAGCTTCCATTCAATTTCCAAACGTCATTTTTTTCAAGCCCATAACAAATGCACATTAGAATTTATTTATTTATTTGTGTGTTGAAAATGGCATATGTATGGGTTGGAGAGGTTACATCCCTCGAGAGCATGAAATTTTTTGGCTTTATTTTATATACACAAGACCATGACCTTTGGTAAGCAAAAAAACAGGGAAGAAGTGAGAAAAATGTATCTCATATATAATATTTTCAATATAAAATGCACCCACTCTCTCCCATCATTATGTGCTGATAAGACCTCTAGTTGCACCTCACCTAACGTATTGAGCAAGTTGTCCCTTAAAGTAATAATTAAAGAAAGATGTTACATAGGTTCCCTGCTTCATATGATTAGGGCCCTAGTGATATTGAATTGAGTCATTTTCCCAGGAAAATATGGGCTTCTTGTTTCCATCTTGTCAACATCATCATGAGAGTAGCGTTTGAGAGTTTAAGCATCCAAATGTGGTAGGAAATGGCATTTTATTAGCAATAGTAGTCAAGACCTACTTTCAGAAGGACAAGTAAACTGGGAGAATAATCTTAACATGTAGTTAATTTAAGGAAAAAGTTTATTTAAGGTTGCAACTTTAAAATGTCAAATTAAAGGTCCACCTTAAAAATCCATCAAAAAAAGTTGTTTTAATATTGAAAAACCCTTGAATTGATCATCTCAACATTAAGATATATGAATATGAAAAAAACTAAGATTTTGAGTCCTACAAATAATGTGTTTTACAACACATTATCTAAACCGTCTATTTCAAGACTTTCAAATGTTCATAGAACTACTTGATTTTAACCATGTTTAGAGTTTAAAATTTTATAGTTAGATAAGAAAATAGATTTCGAGATAATCCTAAGAATTGTTACACCAAAATTACATTGGTAAAATTTGGAGGTGTACCTTAATTGGATTGCTTAAGGTTGCAACCTTATAGAAACCACACCTTTATTTTAAAGAGATTGTCTTGTGGATCCATGAATGCTCGAGAATGGATGGCCTGGATAATGTGTTACATTACGTACTATTTTTAGGGCTTGAATACTTTTTTTTTTTTTTCGATCAAGGTTGAGATAATCGCTTTACACGTTTCTTGATGTCGAAACTATAATTTTTGATAAGTTTTGAGGCAAGGCTTTACTTTTTTCTATAAATCCTTAGCCTTTATTTTAACCTTTTCCTTGTTCTAAATATAAAGGGAAAAGTTATAAAGTAAATATTTTCCTATAAAAAGCAAAGCTTCATGACCCCACCGTAAAATGTAATCCTACCTCTAGAAAACCTTTAATTTATTCATCAAAACTTCAACAATTATGCATTTGATTTTAACAATAATTTTCAAACTTTCAAATGGTCTATTTGGTAAGACATTATTCGAATTACTCATTTTAAGTGTTTATAGATCCACCAGATCTTTATTGTTTTTGGAGCTTGAAATTTTAAATTAGGAGCATAGATTCTTAGGCTATCGTAGAGCTTTCCTAGAAATGATGGTGTAAGGCATTTTCCATTTTGGAATTTGTTACCTAAACTTCAAAGGTCCGTCAATATTCCTTTCAATATAAGGCTAGGTTAGTCTTTTTTTGCTTCAAAATTTTATTTTATGGGATTCTATAGAATAAGACTATTTAGCTTTGTCACAAAAAAGGTCACAATTGCTATTTAGATGTCAAATTCGATGGCTTGAGGTATGTCCAATTTTTTTTTGTTTTTGAACTTTGAGACTAATCAATAGCGCACTCACAGCTACTCGATTTGAAATGTAACCAATAAGAGTGAATGTGATTTCTTTATAATAAATGACCTATTTGTATACTTTTCCTTATTATTTTATCTCTTTTTATTTTTATTTTAGAAAGGGAGGGACTGATGGGTCAGGAAGGTTCCTTACAAGCACAAGAGACATGATGCATCGTATTGTCCACCCAGTTTGAGTAAACTAAACAACCGAACTTGGTTTTTATCACCCCAATTAGTCGGGACACTATCTACAATGCACTGTATAAAAAACCCCCTGTAAATCTCGAAATTGAGTCATATTACAAGGACCACTCGAGTCTATTTTTTGAATATTCTTCAATTTATAGTCATTTTTTCTGTAGCCATGGCAGCTCTTCTCTCTTCCTGCCCATCTACAGTTACCTCTATTCCTCCTGGTCTGAAGACCACAAAAACAAGGAGCCTTT